CTCCCTCATCCCTCTTCCTTTCTCATTCTCTCGGGGTCCGTCTCTGTTCCACGCGCCTCAGCACGGTGCTTCTCGTTTTTTTAACGAAGGATCCGCTCAATACCTCGGCTGTCATAACCTCCCGGCACCCTTCCAGGGTGGCCCGGCTGCCACAGCAAACCCACCCTCGCAACCCTCTGCCTTGCGCCTCCACGGGGCCCACCGACCCTCCCGACCGACGAGCCACCACCTAGCACCCCCCCGCGCTCTCATTCCTCTTCCCAGGTTTTAACGTTTCGTTCGACGTTTCCCTCCAGGCGAGCGCCAGGGACGGCGTAAAGGGGGAAGTGCATTTCGTCGTTACTTTGTTTTACGTCCTTCCTCGCCTCCTCCTCGTCCTCCTCCTCCTCCTCCTCTTTCTTTCATGCCCTCTCCTCTCTCTCTCTCTCTCTCTCTCTCTCTCTCTCTCTCTCTCTTTCTCTTTAGCCAACCTCACGTGTACATTCTCTAGCACATACGCTTTTTCTCGCATCCTTATACTACCCCTCTTCCTTTTTTTCACCGGTCCAGCAGTATCCTCCGTCTACCTCGTCTCGTGGAATACACGCTCTCCGGTCCTCCCCTGGTTTCGCACCCCGTTTTTCGACGGTCATATTTAAAGGCCACCTGTGCTCGTCTCGCAATCGCCTCGCGAACGATTCTTCCGCAAGGAGTACCAGGTTGACTTTCAATTCGACCGAACGCACAGCGTTCCAAGGACGATGCGCGAGAGCGTGAAAATTCTTTTTCACCACAAGGCCACACCGACTCTTTACGGAAAAAGAAACATTAATGCGCAAGCGAGATTCTGGTCCGGTTGTTTTAGAGAGGGTGACACAATTGACCACGAAACCCTCGTCGCGCTCGACCTCTTTTGATCGAATCTGCGCGCGATGAACGGTCCACTGCACCCCCAAAATCGCGTTTGGCTTCGGAGAGATTTTTAAATTCTGCCACGGGATACTCGACATAGTGTCTCTCATTTTTTCGTTTTATCGCGTAAAGCTCGCTCGAAGATGTTGCAGCGTGGAAGAAATATCGTTGATTGTCAGCAGTGTTCGCTGGTTCTTCGGAGCTGTAGATTTAGGGAGAGTAACCGATCTTCGTATAGTACTGGTTGTCCGGTTTACCGACACGAGCCAGCTTTCACAGAGCGTGGAAAATGGGACCAGCAAAGTTAAGGGGACGTACACCTTTTTTCTTTCCCTCGATCTGTTTGTTTGCCACTTTCTTCGGTGCTCTTAACCTCTATACAACCGTCGGACAAGTCCACAATGTAACCGAGTGACCACCGGTTACACGTTCTCTCCCCTCTTGGTGTATTTAAGGGATAATTTTCGTCGAACAGAATCCTGCGTTCCCCGTTGAAAAGGCGCCGGATCGGTGTACTAATTCTATATGAACAAACGCGATACACGCAGCCTCAAAGGGAAGACGGAGAATCGAGAAACGTTTCGAGGGAAATTGTATGGAATACTGGAAGCGATAGTCCTCGTGGCCAGTGAGAACGCTTAAATCCTGTTTGGAGGCTCTCGAGAATCCTGTGTTAGAAGTACCAGTACGACATGGTTCTCGGGGAAGCAACAGTTCGTTCTGCTCCCCCTCCTGCCGCCGTCCGCCGCCTCCACCCTCTGGTATCTTCCTTTTGCTACCCTAAACCGTTGCCACCAAAGCACACAGCCACCCCACCGGGCTGCACCGTACGTCTCCTCGCCACCCGGTGATGCTCCTCGTTGCTTCTCCTCGAACTCGCCCTCTCTCTCTCTCTCT